GAATTGTTTCAAACAACACACCAAATTTAAAGCACTTTTATAGATTACCCAACCAGAAGGCATTAGTAGGTGTATATTTTGTAATTAACCACTAGATATGGTTCCAACATGGAATACGAAGTATTAAAAACTCTTTAATAATGAAAAATTCTTTCATTATGGACGTTTCGAAATTTCTTCAAATTTCACCACCAGCGTTAAAACCTCAAAAAGCTAGTTCACAATATTTTAACTACGAAAAATAGAAGCTAGAAATTTCTGATATAACTACTTAAATAACAAGATTTAAACGGTAAGAATATAACTAAATGTACAATGAAACGTGCAGCAGAAATATCTTTAATGATATTGTTAAGAAAAATTTATAAGTAAAGGCCTAAATACCAATATAAACACTACATCATTAAATACAATAATAATAAAATAAAAACACTGGGAATCGATTCGATTAGTTTAAATAAGGACGAGTTGATGTTAATACTTAGTGTTGGGTGATAATTGAAAATGGAGAGGCTTTCTTTAATAAAAAAATCATTGTTTGTGGTCCGAGGTCGAGAATTTTAAAGTTGTCTAGAAGTATGGTGTGGTTGTTATTCTCACTATGAAACAAGAGTCACGTGAATTACTTAGCTTATATCCATGTGCACATATTTGTAGGTGACATGTAGTTTTACCAATATATATGTCATTTTACAGCTATCACAAGTGTATTTGTATACGATCCATGATTTTCAAGAAGTTTTTAATTCTAAATGTTGACTTAGATACTAAACGTAGCTTAATTTGTGGGTAATAGGTTTTGTAATTTGTTTTGTTGGTTTTTTGGAATTTGAGCTTAAAACTTTATTTGTCCATAAAAGAAGTGGTAAGAACTAGTAGATATTTGAAAACAGTGTGTGACTTCTTGGTAAGCTCTAGTTTATTTATTAAATATATTCGTGTGATAGTGTAAGAAAATAATGGAATAGCCATTATTCTGTACCATGCTATGAATTTTGGAGATTTCAGAGTGAAGACAAAAGTAGTCAGCACATATGTTATAAATTTATATGCTCTGTTTAAGAGATTTATAACAAGGTTATGTTTAAAGCCATTGCATTTTTTCATACGGTAAACAGATATAGCACATATATTGTTTACCTGGACGTCTAAAAAACTAATTTATTGTTTTCTTCCTTCTCACCTGTAAAGTTCATGCATGGATGTAGTGAGTTTAAGGATACTAAAAAATTCTTGATGTGATCAGTGTTGTGAAAGAGTAAAAAAGAATCATCAATGTATCTTCTATATAATACTGGTTAGTAATAGACGTTTGGCACTAGTAAATGATGGAGCTGAGTATGTATGGACTCTGTTAAAAAACCTCTGAAGAAAAGAGAAGATACCTGAAGAATGGAGAGAGAGCCTATTGATATCCAGATGCAAGCAGAAAGGAGATGATATTGAGTGTGAAACAACTTAGAAATAAAACTGGTGGAGACCTGATGAAAGAGAAAGAAAAGGTACTGGAAAAGAGAATGAGAGAAGTCGTAGACATCGACGAGATATAGTTTAAGTTTCGCCCTGGGAGAAGAACAATAGATGCAACCTTCATTCTGCGACTGTTGCAGGAGAAGAAGTAGCTTGAAGGAAACAAGAAGCTATACCATGCATTTGTAGAGTTGGAGAAAAGGTGTGACAAGGTGCCAGAAGAATTAGTATACTGGTGCCTCTGAGAGAAAGGAGTACCCGACAAGCTGATCAAAATAGTGAGGGCTTCTTATGAAGTAGCGATAACAATCATGTAGACGATATATGGAGAAGCGGACAAGTTTGAAGTAAACGTTGGGCTGTACCAAGAGTCAGTCATTAGCCTCCTTGCTGTTCGTCATTATCATCGACGTCTTGAGTAAGGAGTACCGTAAGGGACCATATGGGAGCTACTATTCGCCGCTGATCTTGTCCTAACAACTAAAAGTAAGAAGGAGTTACAAACGCAAATGAATGCCAGAAAACCGGAGCTCACAGTGAGCGGAAGGGGTAAAAAGAAAGTCAAGATCTCAAATATATACGGGAAGCCGCTGAAACAAGTAGAAGGCTTTAGGTACTTGGAAAGTGCAATCCATAGTGAAGGCAGAAGTGATAAATGTAGTTCCTCGGTGGGACAGCGGTAAGTCTACGGATTTACCACGCTAAAATCAGGGATTCGATTCCCCTCGGTGGATACAGCAGATAGCCCGATGTGGCTTTGCTATGAAAATACAAAAAGAAAAAGCTGTGAGAGATAGGATCCAATCGGGTTGGAAGAAATGGAACGAAGATCCACAATCATATGTGACAAACTAGGTTACCAAAAGCACTGAATACAAAGTGTATAAGACCGTGGTTGAACCGATGTTTCTCTACGGAGCCGAGACCTGGACCCTAATTGAGAAGGCTTGTTGATAAAAACAGATATGAGAAGGCTGAGGTGGCTGTTGGAAGTGTCGTTGAAAGAGAAGAGAACGAATAGGGAAATTAAGGAAATAGAATCGAGAAAAAGACAAGAGAAGAGAGGCTGAGGTGGTTCGGTCACGTGAAAAGAAGAGAGGAACAAGCAATAACGAGAGCATCAGAGCTTCCAGTAGCCGGCGAGAGAAGACAGGGAAGTCCAGTAAAGCATTGGAAAGATGGGATTAAAGAAGATATGAACGAGACAGGAATCGCAGAAGACTTTGCATTTAATAAAGACGATTGGAGGAGAGCAACAGGTGTGAAGGACGGCGACCCCTGCCAAACGGAAAAGCCGAATAAGAAAAAAAAAAGATTAGAGAAGGAATTAACCAGATATTGGCAATCATAATATTGGCAAAAGTCGGACCTAGGGGTGATCCCATCGCCACTCTGTCTTAGCTGACCATTAAAAGCGAAGTGATTGTTTTTGAGGGCCAATTTAGGGAGCTTTTTGAACTTTTTCGGTTAAAGATACCAGTGCAGGGCATCATTGTTTGGGAATAACTGTTTAATAATTATTCAAATTATTTCCTCTGGTGGAATGTTAGAGACTAAGAGACGGATATCAAAGCTGATATCACTGGCTTGAATTAGGAAATTTAGACATCTCTTGAGCAAAGTAAAAAGAGTATTTAATAGTAAATTCATTATCAGTTATTGAACTTAATGCAGGTACAATATATTTAGCCAGTTTGTAGACATGAGAACAGAGAATAAATAGAATAGGCCTGAGGGGCAAACCATTAAACCATTTTTGTGTATTTTCGGTAAGGCACACATAAAACGGAGTTGATAAGCTGTAGGATAAAGTGGAATCAGGAATGAGTTTGCATTTTCTTAAGTTTCTTTAAGTCCGTTGAAGTGTTTCCTGACGCTTGAAAGTAAGCTGAAGCTATTTGTTACCGAGGTGTTTAAACTTTGTTCTATTATTCAAATTTCTCGATGATGACTTGCTTAAGCTTACTCTTAGTATTTAGGGCAGTATTCAGAATTAAAAACTTGTTTAAAACCAAAAACACTGCCCCTTCCTATGGATGAGTCGTTCATAAATATTTTTGTGGTAGCTCTAAAGTTACCTATGTGGGTAAAAGTACACGCCATCTAGAAATATGAACACATGGTAATTTCAGCTAGAAGTGGATGTAAGCTAATTAATCCACCCAAGTCTTGTATCCGTTTACACAGTGAGAATAACAACAACCCCACTCTTCTAGAAAACTTTAAAATTCTCGACTTCAAAATCACAGGTTACGAACTTTTTATTAAAGAAAGCTGGGGCACACATGTGGCTATTACAAAAGCGGATTTTGAGGCTCATGTTGGGGCTTCCTTACAGTGCAATTATTACTATCAAATTCAAGGAATGTGGTATTTTTACTATTTACCAGGCCTGTGTCTATCGATCCATCTGTGTTACTAAAGATATCAACATTTTAAATCTTAATCTCAAACTGATAATTCTTTCTAGACAAAACCCTTACTCCTTTGGTCACTACAATCTATATTACTGTCCAAGAAGTGTTACAGTTCTAAGTTCTATGTATTTTCCTACTTGACTCATGTTATTTCAATTCGACTGAAGCAAGATGTTTGAATCACTCTTAGTTTCAGATCACTTAAATAAAAAGTTTCTAATTATGTTTTTTCAATATTTTTCTACATTTGGAATAACGATTGTGTAAAACATAGTTTGTGTTTGGTTACTTACCCTATATGGCTGTAACTTTGTAAATAAAAATCAAGAATAAATATGAAATTATCACCCAACACAAAATAATAACATCAACTTCTCTACTTTGTCTTTAATCTTATCACTTCGACATTCCCAGGGTTTTTATTGGATTATTACTACTATTATGTTTAAAGATGCAGTAGTTTGTACTTATATTTAAGCGTTTCTTTATAATGTTTTCTCTTAACAATATTATTCAACGTTTTATTTACATTCCATTATATTGTTTTCGTTTAAATATGTGTTCTTTGTAACTTTCGTTTGTTTAAAAAACTACTCACATGAGTGCTAATGTTTTTTTTGTTTTTTTTTAATTTCGCGCAAAGCTACACTAGAACTATCTGTGCTAGCCGTCCCTAATTTAGCAGTGAAAGACTAAAGAGAAGGCAGCTAGTAAATCACCACCAACCGCCTATTCTTTTAACAACGAATAGTGGAATTGACCGTCACATTATAACGCCCCCTACGGCTGAAAGGGCGAGCATGTTTGTTGTGATGGGGATTCAAACCCACGACCCTCACATTGTGAGTCAAGCGCCCTAACGTCCTGGCGATGCCGAGCCGTTGGTTTTCTTTTGTTTTGTTTTTTGTTGTTAAAGTACTGTGAATTAAGTTTTTGAGGTTTTTAGCGCTGATGAAATGAAGAATATGGTAAGCATAATTTCTTCTCACAAATATAATGAAATATCATATTGTTAAGTCCTGTAAGAATTATTTTTTCTGATTGCACAATTAACACATTCTTTAGTTCAAACACTGCGTATATATAAGTGTATGAATATTTAATTTCTTTCAGAGGGATATAGGAAACTGTATAAGCTGGATGGAGAAGTGGTGGTCTCTAAAGTTGGTGGCGCTAATGTCACTCGTGATGCAAGGTACTCACTATTTTCATCTTTATTCAAACTTTGACAGCGCTCACTTATTATGATGTTCAGATTAGTCAGATAGGGCTACAAGATATGATATGATTCATCAATAACTAAGACATGTACAAAAACTTCAAAATGTTTCAAATCTGTTAAAATGACACAAAAACTTCCCTTTCCTAACCCGCAAAAATAAGCTCGCTAACTTTTAATATTATGCTAACTGCAAAACGTATGATATAATTGTGTTGATAACGTTCGTGACGATTTGGTAAAACAAATATATATTAACAGGAATATTATCTTTCAACAATAAATCTCTTCTTCATCTTTAAATGAAAAGTGAAAATCACGTAATAATTAGGCAAGTTTAAGATATTTTCCTGCTTAATGTATTTTGTTTTGTTTTCCACCTATACCAATCCTGATATAATAAACATTTTCAAGAACAATATCAGAAAAATTATTTATATTCTAATCTTAGTCGATAAATCTCTAAGTGTGTCGAGTTCTTGTTCCAGTTGCTTTGCTCTCTGAGAAGCATAAACATTCTAGCTAAAGTACTCAGCAATGCAGAGTTTAAAATGTAATGTTATTCCACTGTTTTGAGGTGTAGCACACGAATATTTCATCTGATTCAAAAGTATTTGTATTGTGCGTGGCATTAATCGTCATTTTAGTTTAGTGCCATATATCCTTCTATCGAACTCCTCGCTCAGTTGAGTCCTCATTTGTGGCATTAAGGAGTAAAATTGAAAAATCTGCCAAATTAGAACCGTTCCTTTAATTTCTTATTCATTAGTCTTTGGGGAAGGGTACACCCAAGTTTTTCTTCAAAATTTCATCGAAGTTGGTTCAGCCAGTTTCACACAACAACCTGTTACCCCAGACTGACAGACAAACGGACAATTCTGCTTTATATAATCATATATATATATCCTAGAAAAGGAGAAAATATGTTAATTAAAAATCCTACTAACAAACATCTTGCTTAAAAAGACGTATTATGCAAGTACTGGGGGTATTCAATATACTTTCAAAATTCAAATTATAAAAGCTAAAATAGGATAAATACACGGTACAGTAAAACTGTGTTTCGCCAATGTTAAAGTAGCATTATCGGGTACTTTACGTAACATAACAAACAATTTACATACACCTAACGGGGATGTCACGAGCATAAATATGAACTTACTCCTTGCATTTTGTATATTTTATGTCTATCCTTTTAACCATTTTAATTTTCACTTTGAAACTTATCACAGACAGAGAGTGGACATACCCCAACACATGCTTATCAACATTTGAAAGATACTCAACGTCGCAGTGGATAGAATATTCTTTAAAATACCTAATGTTAATAAAAGTAAAATAAAATAAGCTATTATAATAAAGCAAGATAGACTTATGATAAATAAAATACAAGGGTCAGGTTTATATTTATGTTATGATAAAAGTTATACTCATTGTGTTAACGTTATGTGTATTTAAATGGTAGGTTCTGTTATATAAAGTATCTCATGATTCTACGTTAAAGATGACGAATTGTAGCTTTACTGTATGGTGTTTTTGTGTCCTTTCTTTTAGCTGTTTATAATTTTGATTTTTAAAATCATATTATCCTATCTCCTTTCATTCATAAATTATTTGTCTTTGTTGATTGAAGAATGTAAAGGTTAATTCATATTCTTGATATTTGTCTTTCCGTTACCCCTTTTGTATTTGTTTAGTGCAAAGAATAAATAGTCAAGTTCATTGTAAACATTCGTATCAATGTATATTCAAGAGCATCAATGCACGTCTCCAAAAGATTCGAAGAAATGTATTTACAACATATAAAATGTTAGAAATGACAGAAAGCTGGTTCTAATTATTTTGTAAATTTAGTTTCCTTAAGGTAAAAAGAAAGATTATAGTAGTTCGTGTATAGATATTTTCAATTTGTTGCCAGAAAAAAAATTATTTGATCTTCAGACTGGTTCCGTATTACAGGCTTTGCTACCCAATGTTACATTTGCAGCTGGAGTCCAAATGACAGAAACAACCAGACTGATCGTTGCACGGACGACAATTTTCATGGACAGAAAGTGTACAGCCATGAGTGTGACCATGGTTGTGAAACATTTGTTCAGTGGGATTCCAATGGTAAGGTTTGATTGTTAAGTTTCGCTTCAAGTTATTCAAGAGCTAACTTTGCTAGCCGTCCCTAATTTTAAAGTAATAGACTAGAGAGAAGGAAACCAATCAAAATATCCCAACATCAACTCTAATGATACTTTTTTCCAACAAATAGATTGATTGACCGTCACGTTATAAAGTCACCACGATTGAAAAGGCGATCATGTTTGGTGACAGGATGCGATCCCACGACCTGCAGATTGTGAGTTCAGTACTTTAACTACCTGGTCATTCCAGGTGATGGAATTCGATTCCACGACCTAAAGATTGCGAGTCGAGCACCCTAACCGTCAAGCCATATCAGGTGACGGGATTCGATCCCACGACTTGCATGTTTCGAGTCGAGCACACTAACCACTAGGCCATGCCAGGCTACTAGATTATCGACGACTTACATGTATTTTATTCGAGTGAATTTTTATATTTATATACAGAAAAGTTAATAGGGGAAAGAAATATTAGATGAATAAATAGAAGCTAAACTAACTAACATTTTACTGCCTTATATATGCGTATATTCTTTCACAAAATCACCTACAAGGTTTTATTTTTTAATACAGAAAACAAACTTTTTTTTGTCAATTGAGAGAGTGTAAGTAAATGGTACAGACGGTATTCACGATCTATGGCAAGAACAGAAGGATGACTGCCTAGGTTTCACAGCCTGTTCTTCAACCATCACTGTATGATGGCCCTGGTTGATGAGTTCTGCTTAGCACATTTCCTAAAATTTGCCAATCATACATAAACTACGACTTCAAAAGGTCCGTTTGAGCAACACAAAGATTTCTTTCCTGCTGTAATCACACCTGCCCTTTATGAGTATGATTCAACACTGTGCCATTTTTTTTTTTTGCATACTTTTAAAATCACGGAATAGGAAAATGTAATCCTCCCAGACTTGGATGCACCATATGCACTTGCAACTCACCACGTTTCAACTGAATTGAAATTAGAATGTCGGAGCCTTTAATAAATGTAATTACAGGCCAATGAAATGGTCAGGGGCAATTCTAAGAACTTATGAGAGAAAGTAAAGAAAAATATGTTACAATATGTGAACCACACTAGATCTGCCATATTCAGTGCAGACAAGGCCTTTCGCCAGTACGCAGGGCATATTGGATATGCAAGCTGTCGTAGATAGTGAATAACCTTCTGCACACAGCACCAGTTGTCAAATGCAAGTATTTATTGTAGTATTATGTATTGACTATATTATTTCTAGTACGTTAAAAGGCCCGATCTTTTTTCTATACTTAGGAAAAATAAGAGAAATGAAGAGAACTGCAAGAAATCAGACAAATTTAAGCTTCATATCTACAATTTTAACCTTTACAATTTCAGCCGCAAAGTTTAACCTACTTTACGCATATACTTTACGATTCAAGTTATCAAAGCTAACAATTTCACCCATAGTATAACTGCAAATAATTGCTAACGGACTACTTAACCAAACCAAATATAAAACTTTGAATTTCTAACTGATACAGTTAGATAGATGACTATGGATGGATTCGCCTTTTAACGTGAAATAAATACCAATCTAGGATTATTTTTGAAAAAAGAGCAAGCACAAAGGATCACATATAAAGTATAATATAAGCGCTTGAGTTTTGGGTCTTATTTTAAGTCTAATTTTAGATTATGAGTTTTTAAGAAAAAGTGCAAAGGGTATAGATTAAACTAGTAGTTTGTTGTAATTAAAGTTCTGGTTTCCTACACACGTTGTTTGATCCAAACATTCATCAGGATTTATTTCTTCTTCTTAGTGTTTCGAACTATTTTTACACGTTAATATCTGTGATAATATAGTTTGTTTGGAATTAAGCACAAAGCTACACAATGGGCTATCTGTGCTCTGCCCACCACGGGTATCGAAACCCGGTTTCTGGTGTTGTAAGTCCGCAGACGTACCGCTATGCCACGTTCGTTTTTTTATTAGTCACCAGCTGACAGCTTGAAGCTATCATTTATTTCAGTGTTCTTGTTACTTCGTGTGTATACATATATATCGTCAGCACTCTTCTAAGGATGCAGAACCTGTGTAGTTGAAAAGAACATCATTGAAGATGTATGAACGCATAGTAACCAGAGTATGATTAAACAGAACTTATGATTATACTATAATACTATAATACTTATGATTATACTATAATACTATAATACTTATGATTATACTATAATACTATAATACTTATGATTATACTATAATACTATAATACTTATGATTATACTATAATACTATAATACTTATGATTATACTATAATACTATAATACTTATGATTATACTATAATACTTATGATTATACTATAATACTATACTATAATACTTATGATTATACTATAATACTATACTATATACTTATGTATTATACTATTATACTATAATACTTATGTATATACTATAATACTATAATACTTATAGTATTATAACTACGTAATAATTATAGTATACATAC